CTGCTTCAACAAGAGGGGAGACATTGGTGCTGCCTCAAGGCTCCTGGGGACACAGAGCCTGCAGATATTAAACAAATGATGTTCCTCCAATAAAAGAAAGTCAGAGAAGTGATCAGGCAATGGGGAGATCATGAAGACATTACAGAAAGGGCCCCATGGGTAGCACAAAGCCCTTCTGGGAACAATCTCTGGGGTCCAGTACCAGGTCCCTGTGGAGAAGGGATTGAGCATGGGCACTAGTGTCTTTGCTCTTGAAAGAGATGTTGCCAAATTTCCAGGAACAAAGAGTAAAGAAATGATCCCCGCCCACCCCACCAAAGCAGTGCCAAAAGAGACAGCTCACAGGAGTCTGAAATCTTAGGCTTGGAAAGGACTTAGAGTCAGCCTCTCGTTTCCTATCCGAGACACAATGAATCCTCCCTATGATATCCCTGTCAAGAGGTCAGTCAGTCTCTGCTTAGAGTCCTTCAATAATGGAGAACTCACTACCTCCCAACCTAGGTCATTCATTTGGAAAGTTCAGTTTTTTATTATGTTAAGAAAAACCTGCATCTCTGTAATCAATCCACCAATCAATCAGTCCCAGTAGTATTTATTAAGCACCTACTATGTGCCAAGCACTTTATCTCTCCCTTTGGTTCTAGGTACCCTTTCTGAAGCCACACCAAACCTAATGCCTTTACCCTGTGACAGTCCTTCAGATATGTGAGGACAGCTACCATTGCCTCCTCCGTCTTCTCTTTTCAGAGTGAAATTCCATCTATTTATTTATTCATGGAATTTAGAACTGTCAGGGTCAAATTCTTTCTGCTTAACGAGCAAACTGAGGCCTAGAGAAGGAGGTTCAGTGACTTGGCATAGGTCACACAGGCTGTTGAGCTGGAAATCAAACTGAGGTCCTGATTCTACATTCAGGGCTACTTCTACCACACAACCCAACCCCCTTTCATCTATTCCTCACAGGGTAAGGTTTCCAGACCCCTCACGCTCCCTGTCTGTCAGTGTCCTTCCTAAATGTGGATCCTAGAAGTGAACATGATATTCTAGGTGTGGTTGACCAGGACCATGGAGAGTTGCTGCTATTCTTGGCATGACTATTTTATCTAGCCCCAGGATTTCACTGGTGTGGGGGCACTGCAGCTTGGAAAGTCCTGCTACTGCTGTCATTAAATCATGGATTAGGGGGTTGCCTGGGAAACAGAGGGGTTAAATGATTTTCTTATGGTCAAACCAGTAGGTAGAACCTGGACCCGGGTCTTCCTGACTCGCAGACTGGCCTCTATTGTCTATCTCAGGCTCTATCCATTGCATGTATTAATGCAACCTAGCTAAGGCAGCTACAGGCCAGGCACGGAGCACTAGACAAACAGACATAAGCTAACACACACACACACACACACACACACACACACACACACCCTTCTCGGTTGGACAGGCAAGGCAGAGAGAGGTCAGAACTCCAAATTTCTCACAGGGGCTAGAGACCCTGCTCCCTTTCCCCTCAGCTCTCCCCTTCTGAAGCCCTCAGGGCTGAGCAACACTACCCCTCCTTCCAGCTGCCCCCACTTAGGGATGCTGCCGCCCTAACTGAAGGTGGAAAGAGCACCAGGGCAGTGCTGCTTTCCTGCCTCCCTCCCTCACTGGTGAAGGCCTAGAAGAGAGATGAGGCAGAAGCCAGTGTCTAGGGTCTCCACCAGGATCACAGGGAGTATATTGAGGTTCTGAGGCAGAGGGATGAACTTGTGGTAGGAGGAGAGAGAAAGGAAAGGAGGGAACTGTCTTTGCTGAACTGGATAGTGAGTTTGAGAAGTACAAAACGATTGCCTTGGGGTCCCAGGAGTAGCTTTGTCACCTTTTGGGGGAAACTAAATGCTGTTTTACTAGGGAAGGAAGAGGCATGAATGGAACCCATGTTGAAGAGAAATACTGGTACACATTAGTCCTATCACACAGGACTTGGAATTGAAATTGTAAAGTACCTGGGTGAATATGGCACCAACCCTTTACAAATTCATTGTCAATAGTTTTCAGATTGGGAAAAAGAAAATGAAATAACATTTCGGGCCATGCCTTTCATTATTCTGATAACAGAGCAAGGCAGCTGTAGGAAGAATGAGGTTTTCTGGGAAGTGATCTCCCTGGACTTAGATTTTGTAAAGCATCTGTCTTTTTTTTCTATGATGATGATGCAGCATACTTCATTGTCTGTGGTAATGACAAATGACCAATGTGGATCTGGGTGCACCTGACCAAGGTATACAGAATGGTTTTTCTTGGTTAGGTCATTTTTCAGTTGTGTCCGACTCTTTCTGATCCCATTTGGGGTTTTCTTGGCAAAGACACTGCAGTGATTTCCCATGTCCTTCTCTAGCTCATTTGACAGATGAGGAACTGAGGCAATGAGGGTTACGTGACTTTCGTAAAGTCACATAGCTAATAAGTGTCTGAGGCAAGATTTGAATTGAGGAAGATGAGTCTTATTGACTCTAGGCCCCTTGTTCTATCCATTGTGCCACCTAGCTGCCCATGGGCTCCCTCTGATGCATATGTGAGTATTACCAGATTAGGTGGTTTACTGAGAGGATATCTAGCACAGCTTTCCAGTGTCATTGAGGCTGAAGTGGTGTTTTTTATATCTGTTGTTGTTATCTCATTTAACCGAAGCTGTTGTGTAAATCCTTGAAAACTCATTTTGGCAAATGGTCAAACTGGGATAAGGACTTCTCACATTAGAGAGACAGAAGGATGTAGACGGGTATTTCATGAAAAAATTCAATTCAGGCAATAAGTGGCTGTTGAATGTTCATGAGGTGAAATTAGTTTTTTTGAAATGACTTTTTTTGACATTTAAAAAAGAAAATTGCCCCTCACCCTTCTAGTCTTAGAACATCTAGATAGATAAAGGCATACTAGTCAAATAAGAGCATAAGAGGCAGCAGAATCTAATTAATACACTGCTCAATTCTGGGTCAGGAATATCTGGGTTCACATCCTACCTGACTAGCTGTGGACACTTACTAGTTGTGTGACCTCAGACAACTCCCGTCACCACTCTGGGGTTCAGTTTTTTCCCTTTAAATGGAGAGGGTTCGATTAGTTCACTTTTGAGGTCCCTTCCAACTCTATCTCTGATCTTAAGTGAGATTTGGGGCAAGTCCCTTGACCTCCCTGGCCTTCATCTTCCTCTGCAGCAGAAGGAGATTGGATCAGCTGGACTCTGAGTGTGCTTTGAGCTGGAGATTTAAGCCTGTGATCCCTTAGACTCATTTGGTGGCTTGAGGTAAGGACTGGGTGAAGAGGGAACTGAGGCAGCAGATAGAGGACACACATAAGAGACTTGAAGGAGAGGCTTTGTTCAAGATGGAGGCCATGGTCCAATGGCAAGAATAGAGGGATATGGAGTTAGAGGAGCCAGATTGGAGTCCTAGCTCTACTACTGCTACAAGGACTACATGTAGATCTCTCTCAGTGTCTGATTTTTGTGTACTCCAAGGTTAAATTTTCTTTTACACTATGCTTGGGCTTCCCTGATTTGACACTGGTAAAGTCTTGGCCAAAATTGGCTAGTTATTAACAAATATCCTTCCTAGCTAAGACCACCCATTTTCTTGTACATATTTCCTCCAAGTTTTGTCCTTGTCAGTGGGCTACATTAACATTCTGCCTCATGCAGGGCCTCTGGGCTTGCTTAGTGGCCCATTTCCTTGGACTCACCTGCTTGGTGATCCTCTGAAGTGTGTGCCTCTCTCTCATTCAAGTAGAAGAGCATGGTCATTGGTCTCCCCAGTTTCTCAGGGCAGGGATGACCTGGGAGATAGTGTTTGAGCTGACCCTTGACCACCTAAAGTCTGTATTTATTGAGGGGGCTGAGTCACCTAAGGTCTCCATGCTCTAGGCAAGTTTCTGAGAGTAGAAACTGCAGGCAGAAAGGTGTCAATGGAGAGATTTTCCTTCTCTGGGAGTCCCCCACAGTCCTCAGGTGTCTAGTCCCTATCCCTGCAGCTATCTGATCAAGATGCCTTTTTATCTGCCTCTAGGGCTCCTGACTAGATGCCTGGCTCTCTCGGGTGCTCTGGGTCCCCTGGGTGATGCTCCTAGTGGGTAGGGCAGCATGCTGGAACCTGGGAGGATCCCCAACCTTCTGCCTCAACTCTCCTTTATTGGAGGAGGGAGTAGCTGAACAGCCGTTGCCTCCAGTTTTCTACAGCCCAGGCATGATCAGGGGCACAGATGCATCCATGGCTGGGTGTCCCCATATCCGTACCTGCCCCTGGTCTGATTTTGTCTTCTTCTGCCTGGGAGAAAGGAGGCTGAGACCACCCCTGCCTCAGACTACCCCTTTAGTCCTCTGCTCTGGGGGCCATCAGGATTCCAAGTCCCATTTGCGATCTGGGGGCTGGTGGTCTGCCGCTGCTTCAGCTACTGTGCTGTTCCCTTAAGTGCAGCCCAGGACACCCTGCCCCCTCCATCCCTGCCCTCCCCCTCCAGGTTATCTGTAAAGAGTCTGACCCCTGACAACCCCAAGCTTAGCTCAGCTGCCCCACCCCATCCCGCCCAGCCCCAGCAGGTGCCCACAGGAAAGTGGGACCTGGTTCCGTCCTGGGCCCTCCTCTAAGGACTGGGGCCCCCTCCCCTCCCCAGGGTGAGTGATGGGAGTTGAGAGAAATGACTGGGGGGGCTGCTCACTCCTCTGTGCGTGACATCACAGATCCCCGCTCTCTTTTCCTCCCTCCTCCCTCTGCTCTGAGTGGCTACTTCACTGTGGCTGCTGTGACGACACTGTACCCGCCCCTGCTACCCTTGACCAAGGTCAGTGCTTTTTGTCTCTGGAAAAGGAGGAGGAAGACGGGGAGGAGGAGGAGGGGGACGGGGAGGGGGAGGAGGAGGGGGTTCCCTTTTCCCCTGAGTCTGGGGCGGAGGGACCAGCTGGAGATCTGCCCTCCCCCAACCCCCTGCCCTTCTCTGCCCCCACCACACCTCCTTCCTCCTCACCGCCTCCCGTCACCTGAGAGATCCCCGAAATTCTTGCACTTTGTGTAGGAGGTAAGCGTCCCCTCCCCCTCCTGCCAAGGTACCCCTGCCCCTCTGCGTCGCCCCCCTTATATTCTCTTCTGCCCCCTCTTCTGTCTTCTCCTGAACTCCTCCCACCACAAATTGACTTTTTTTAGTGCCCAGGGGTATGTGTGTGTGCTTGGGGGGGGGGGCATGGGAATATTGGTACCTTTGTTTATACGTGTGTTGTGTGTGTATGTGTGTATGTATGTATATATGTACGTATGTGTGTGTGTACTCGTGTGTGCTGCTCCTCCAGGGCTGTTCCTGCCTGGCTGGGGCTTCCTGCCTGCCCAGACCTTTGTGCGGAGTTCTGGGGCTTGGGGGCCGTGGGGTGGAAGCAAGCAGGGAGAAGCCTTTGGGGACACTCCCTCCATCCCCTCCCCAGGTGGACGTTTCCATCCTTTCTTCCTCCCTTCCTCTCATGCTTGCCTTTGCCTCAGGGCTGGGGAGAGAGGAGACAGTCTAGGAACTCTTCTCCCCTTCTCCGTATCATCTCTTTCCTCTGGTGTCCTTAGATTTAACGGTGTGTTTGTTTTTGTTCTGGTTTCAACCAGCACCTGGTGAAAGGGGCGTTTCCATGTATGTACCTTATTGTAGAACAGAAAGAGGGGACTGTCCCTGAACCTGCGGATCTCTGTGATTTACAGACTGAAAGAAGAGAGTTGTTTTAATGTGCACTTCTCTCATTATGAGGGATTTGGAGCATTTTGTCATAGGGTTATTGGTAGCTTGGATTTCTTCCTTTGAAAAAGCCCTTTTCCGTTGCCCCATTGGAGAATGGTTCTTAATCTTGGAAATTAGAATCAGAACAATTGTTTTCATAATCATTGATTTGTAGTATAGTTTAACATCTGCTGCTGATAGTCATTAACCCAAACCCCTTTCTTTTCTCCTTCTGCCCTCCATTATTATCCTGGAGATGCTTAGCCTCCTTAAAAAAATTTTAGTGATATTTCTGTTTCTTACCTCACCAAGATATCCCATGTATCCCTCCCACTCCCCATTTTGGAGAGCCATACCATGTAACAAATTGTGTTTTGATTTTAGGGAGGAAAAAAAATCGAGCATAACTGGTTGATGCATGGGGAAAAGGTGTGCAATGTGTAACACCTGTGGACCTCTCACGTCCTGGATGGGGTAGGGTGATGGTGTCTTCTCGTGTTTCCTTTTCAGCCCTACTTGTTCTTTAACATTTTATTCTATGTATTTTTAAGTTTTTGGTGTGTGCTTCTTCCCATTTAAATTGTTGTTTGGATCTGTCTTTATTTGTGTGAAGAGTGTTTTGTCATTGTTTTCATGGAGTCCATGGATTGATCTTGGCAGGGAGACTCCCAAGGATTTTATATTGTTTGCAATTATTTTAACTGGAATTTCTTTCTACCTTTTCCTGCAGGTAGTTGTTGTAGTTTGTAGCTTGTTGGTAGTATTATAGAAATGCTGATGATAAGTGGATTTATTTCGTATCCTGCAAAGTTGCTAAAGTGGGTGTTTCCACTAGTTTTTTTTTTTATTTGATTCTCTGGGGTGCTGGAAATATACCACATATCATGTGCAAAGAGGGGTAGTTTTGTCTCCTCATTGCCTATTTTTATTTTTCCAATTTCTTTTTCTTGCCTTCTGTCTATACCTAGGATTTCTAGGACAATATTGAATAATTGTGGTGATAATGGACATCCTTGTTTCACTCCTGATCTTACTCAGAGGGCTTCAGGTTTATTTCCATGATGGATAATGCTTGCTCTTGGTTTTAAAAATATATTACTTACAATTTTAAGAGAGGGTCTGTTGATTCCTGTGCTTTCTAGTATTTTTAATAGGAATGGGTTGTATTTTGTTAAAAGCTTTTTCTACATCTTTTGATATAATCACACAATTTTTGTTTATTTTGTTGTTGATATTGTCAATTGTGTTGATAGTTTTCCTAACGTTGAAACAGCCCTGCATTCTTAGTGTTAATCCCACTGCTCATAATGTATGACTTTTGTGATATACTGCTGTAATCTCCTTTCTCGGATTTCATTTCAAATGGTTCCTTGCTGTTCATTAAGGAAATTGGTCTATAATTTTCTTTCTCTGTTTTTGTTCTCCCTTGTGTGGGTATCAAAACCATATTTTGACTATAAACAGATTTTGGTAGGATGTGTTCTTTACCTAGTTTTTCAAATAATTTTTATAGTATTGGAATGGATTGTTCCTTAAATATCTAGTAGAATTCACTGATAAATCCATCTGGTCCTTGGGATTTTGTCTTAGGTAATGCATTTATACCTTGAGCAATTTCTCTTTTTTGTTGGAGTGATTTAAGTATTCCATTTTCTTCTTCTGTTAACAAGTACAGTTTATATTTTTGTAAATATTCATCCATTTCACTTAGATTTTCAGTTTATCTGGTATATGATTGTGCAAAATTCCTCGTAATAATTGCTTTAATTTCATCTTCATGGGTTATGATTTCACCCTATTCATTTCCAATTTGGTTCTCTTCTTTTTATATTGATCAAATAACCAATGGTTTATCTATTTTATTTTTTTTTCATAAAACCAAATCCTAGTTTTGTTTATTAGTTTACCTTGCAGACTGAAAGAAAAGAGTTGTTTTAATGTGGACTTCTCTCGTTATGAGGGATTTGGAGCATTTTGTCATAGGACTATTGATAGGTTGAATTTCTTCCTTTGAAAACTTCCTGTTCATATCCTTTGCCCTACTGGAAAATGGCTCTTGATCTTAGAAACTGGAATCAGTTCCTTCTATATCTTGCATATGCAACAGTCCTTAGAGAACTTTACTGCAAAGATGTTTTTCCTCACTTAACTGTTACCCTTCTCATTTTAACTGCATTGGATCTGTTTGTGCAAAAACATTTCAATTTTATAGAAGCAGAATTATCCATTTTATTTTCTTCGATTCTCTCTGTTGCTTGTTCTGCATTAACCTCTTCCTGTCTCCATAGATGTGAAAAGTGGTTTCCTCCTTGCTCCTCTAATTTGCTACTGATTCCTCCTTTACATCTAATTCATGTATCCATTTATAGTTTAATTTCAAAGGTGGTATGAGGTGTTGATGTCCTATCAAATTTCTGGCTTTTCCCTTATCCCATCTGTTTTTTTTAATCAACTAGGGTTTCCTCCCCTGCCCCCCCCCCAATTTCTGTCTTTGGATTTATTAAACACTTATTTTATTTATTTGCTTCTCTACATTTCATACCTAATCTTATCCATTGAGAAACCTTTCAATTTTTAGCAAGTTCACATCATTTTCTGGACAGCCAGGTATTCTATGGTGCCTGAAATCAGGAAGACAGTCATCTCCTTGAGGTCAAACCTGACCTCAGCCACTTATTAGCTGTGTGACCGTTGCCAAGTCACTTAACTCTGTTTCCCTCAGTTCCTCATCTGTCAGATGAGCTGCAGAAGGAAATGGCAAACCACTCCAATATCTTTGCCACAAAAACCCCAAATGGGGTCAGCAGAAGTCAGACAGGACTAAACAACAACAACAATTGTTTTCATGACCACTGATCTGTATCAGAGTTTGAGATCTGCTACTGATAATTACTAACCCTAAACCCCTTTCTTTTCTCCTTCCTCCCCATCATTTCCCTTGAGATACTTGACTTCTTTAAAAAAAAAAAACTTAGGGGCAGCTGGGTGGTACAGTGGATAGAGCACTGGCCCTAGAGTCAGGAGGACCTGAGTTCAAATGTGGCCCCAGACACATAACACTCACTAGCTGTGTGACTTTGGGCAAGTAACTTAACCCCAATTGCCTCACCTCAAAAAAAAATTTTTTTTATATTTTCTGTTTTTTACATCATTAAGGTATCCCATGTATCCCTCCCTCTCCCCATCCTCAAGGGCCATGCAATGTAACAAATTATATTTTTTGTTTTAGGGTGGAAAAGAAAAGCCAGCACAACTGATCAATGCATTTAGGAAAAGATGTGAAATGTGTAACACCTGTGGACATCCTACCTCCTGAACAGGGTAGGGTGATGTTGTCTTCTTATGTTTCCTTTTCAGTCCCACTTGATCTTTAACATTTTGTTACAGGTACTTTTAATTTTTTGTGTGTCATTATTTTCATTTCAATTATTGTACTTACTCTGTGTGTGTGTGTGTGTGTGTGTGTGTTCTGTTTTCTTGACTCTCCTTAATTCACTTTGAATCAATTCACAAAGATCTTTCCATACTTCTCTGTACTCGTCACATACATCATTTCTTACTGCATGGTAGCAGTATTCCATGACATTCGTGTTCCATGCCTTGTTCAGCCATTCCCCAGTTGATGAACGTCTACTCTGCTTCCAATTCATAGCTGTCACAAAAAGTGCTGTTTTAAATATTTTGGCACATATGGGGAATTTTTTCTTATTAATGGCTTCCTTGGGGTGTAATAGAGTCCTTGTTTTAAAGACTTTGGACATTTTTGTTACTTTCTTCGCATAATTCCAAATTACTTTCCAAAACCCATGTGTCATTTCACAGCTCCACCAAGAATGTATTAGCGTGTGTATATTCCTACAGCCTTGTTTAGGTATCAAAACCACATTTATGCCATAAGAGGAATTTAAAAAGACTCCTTCTTTACCTGTTGTTTCAAATAGATTATACAGTATTGGGATGAAATGTTTTTTTAAATGCTTGGTAGAATCACTTTCAAATCCATCTGGTCCTGGGGATTTTTTCCTAGGGAACTCTTTTATGCCTTGTTCAATGTTTTCTTTTAAGGTGGGATTATTTACTATTTCCTCTTGTGTTAACATGGACAGTTTATATTTTTTATAAATATTTTTCCATTTCATGTAGTTTGTCAGTTTTCCTGGCATGTGATTGGGCAAAGCAACTCCTAGGCATTACTTTAATTTCATCTTCATTGGTTATGCATTTGCCCTTTCATTTTTGAGACTGGTAATTTGGTTTTCTTCCTTTTTTTGTTAATCAAGTTAACTAATGGTTTGTCTATTTTATTAATATTTTCATAAAACCTGCACCTACTTTTATTTATTAGTTTGATTTCTTAATAATTTTCTTAATCTCATCTTTGATTTAAGGATTTCAATTTTGATGTTTAGTTGGAGATTTTCTATTTGTTCTTTTTCTACTTTTTAAAATTTGATGCCCAATTCCTTGATCTGCTCTTTTTCTGTTTTACTGATGTAAGCATTTAGAGATAGAAATTTCCTCTAAGGACTACTTTGGCTGCACCCCACAAGTTGTAGCATGTTGCCTCATTGTTGTAATTCTCTTGACTGAAATTATTGGTTGATTGTATGATTTGTTCTTCAACCCACTCATTCTTTAGAATGTGATTATTTAGTTTCCAATTAATTTTTAATCTGTGCTTCCACTTCTTGGTCATTTATATTGCATTGTGGTGTGTAAAAGTTGCATTTAATATTTCTGTATTTGTCCATTTGTTTATGAGGCTTTTATACACTGATATATGTTCATTTTTTGTGAAGGTGTCATGAACAGTTGAGAAAAAGTTATATTCCCTTTTATTTCCATTCAATTTTCTCCAGAGTTCTATCATCTCTAAATTTTCTAATATGCTTTTCTTCTCCTTAACTTCTTTTTAATTTAATTTGTACATAGATTTCCCTAATTCTGAGAGGGAAAAGTTGGGGTCACCCTTTGTATAGTTTTACTATTTCCTTCTGTAAGTCATTTAACTTTTCATTTTTAGAAGTTGTATGTTCTGCCGTTTTGTACATATTTGGTTGGTATTGTTATTATATTATTGTCTGTGGTACCTTTTAGTAAGATATAGTTTCCATGCTTATCTCTTTGAATTAGGTCTGTTTTAGCTTTTGCTTTGTCTGAGATCATGATTTCTACCATTTCCTTTTATACTTCAGCTAAAGCCTAAGTGTGTTTGGTGGGAGGCTGTGGCAGGGTGGGGGGCAGGGAACATATTGTCTGAAGCTTCAGGCCTTTTCCCACTTTTCACTTTGATGTTTTCAGAGCTAATTTTGGGGGTTTGAAAGTTTTCTGTGGTCCAAAGTGATAAGATTTGGGGAGAGGTTTGGTCTTTGCTTTCCTGGTCTGTGCTCTGGTCCTTACCTAGGAAGAAACCCTGAGCCATTAGGGCTACAATTGATATTGCTACACGAGGTCACTAATCCCTGTTGACCAGAAGTGACCTTACCCCTCAATACCCTTTTTCCATTGTGATTGCAAATGATACTGTTCCTCAGGGTCCCTGCTCCCTCTTGCCAGAACGTGCTCATTGCTGCCCTTGGATTGTGACCCAGAAGTCTATACAGGCAGTGGAATGTCCAAACAGCTTCCAATCTTGTGTCTTGAGCTAGCACTGGGGTCTCCGTAATCTCTTTCAGCCAATTGCTAGGTCCCCTTATTGTCTCTGACTTGAGAGCTCCCAAAGCTGCTGCTGCTTCTGACTATTGAAATTAATAGAATAACTTTAATATAATAAGAATAAAATATCATATAATAGGAATGTAATAAAAATAAATAGAAAATCATTCTGAGGTACAAATTTTCCAAGTAAATAAATAATGATTTCCTAGTAATGATTGACAGGTTCCCCTTAGATTAACTAATTCCTTAGTAATTAGTGACAAAGGAATGATTTCAGAGTTTATTTTTATAAGAGAAAAGAGGAGTAAAAAAATTACAGCAATGTTAGGAAACTTGTTTTGAGCATAATTCAGGTGAACAAGGAAGGTCATCTGAGTGGTTTGCTTCTCCCAGGCTTCCTTAATGAAAATTCCTACTGTTGGCAACATTTAGCTGTCAAAGTGAGATTGCCCCAGAAGTCCTTGCCCCACAGCTGAAGCAGTTTGTAATCAGAAAGCTTCCTTTCAAGGGGCCTATAGTTTCCACTGAGACTGGGAAAGAGGAAGGTGTGATTTGTAGTTAGCAGTCACCCCCCACCCTGATTCTGCACTTGCCAGAGAGGAAAACCCAGCCTCAGAAGATTACACCACTTAACAAATACATAAGCTCTAGCTGAAGAAAAATAAGGGAGCTTATCTCCTAAGTCTAAAGAACTTAATCTTTTGTCAACCCTCCTTTCCCAACTGCCAGAAAGGGGAACTTAGCCTTTGAAAAGAGTCTTCTAATACTTTGATAATTTTGTTCCTAAAACATGTATGTCTTACTTGAAATTATCTGCTACTAAGTGATGAAGTCTTATCAATCTATCTATTCACTAAATCTATAAGTAACCTAGACTGAAGAGAATACCTTTGTTGTTTTGTCTTACCTGTTAGGACTAGCTTTTCCTGAAGAAGGGAGATCAATCCTACAATCCAACTAAAATTAAATCAAAGTCATCAATACTAACTGATTAAAATGGCATTCCTAAGCCAGCTAGGTGGCACAGTGTATAGAGCTCTGGCCTTGAAGTATATGAGTTGAAATCCAGTCTCAGACACATGACACTTACTAGCTGTGTGACCCTGGGCAAGTCACTTAACCCTGATTGCCTCACCAAAAAGCAAAAAAAAAATGGCATTCCTTTTCAGTCCACCACCTCATCCCACCACTGGTGTTTCCTGAACGTGGGCTCTGGGCCAGCCTCCACCCCTGTGTTACAAATCTCACCTTCCAGCCTCTCAAGTTGTTTTGGGCTTGGAAGAATGTCTCAACCTAATCTTTTGTTGGCTGTGCCAGTGGAGAATTTGATGTGAGGCTCTCTGTTAAAGTTGTTTAATGAGGAATGTTGAGAGAGGTTGACTTGGTACTTCCTATCCTCAGCCTTCTAGCTAATAACTTCTTGAATTTCATTAGTGATCATTTGATCCTTTGTGAAGTGCAGGAACCAACAAAGGGAAAAGGGCATTATCACCTGACTCTGAGCATTTTCACTGGCTGTTCCCCATACCTGATATGCTCACTCTTCATCTCTACCCCTTGGCTTCCCTGGCATCCTTCACATCCCAGATCCAATCCTACCTTCTACAGGAAGCCTTTCTTGATTCCTCCCCCCTCCCAATTCTAGCCCCTTCCCACTGCTTATTACTTCCACTTTAGTCTGTCCAGGGGTTGTTTCTCTATAGTAGTTTGCATGTTATCTTCCCCATTAGACTGAGCTCCTTCAGAGCAGAGACTGTCTTTTGCCTTTCTTTGTCTCCTCAGCACTTATTTAGTAACCTGCCTAGCACATAGAAAGTGTTTAATGTATGTTCATTGACTGAGATTTTTCTGGATCAGATTCTCAGTAATAGGAAGGAAGTGATTGCTAGAATGGAAATGATGGGAGTGCTGGGAGGAAGTGACCACTCAGTCCTAAAGTTTGTGATAAAGGCGACAAAATCTGGGAATAGTCTCAGGAGTCAACGAACCTAGTCATTTAGTGTTCCAGAAATCCAAAGACTATAACTACTGGGAGTTGGGACTTACTTTTTGCCAAAAGCTTCTGAGAACACTGAAAAGCAGTATGGAAGAAATTAGATAAAGACCAACATCTCCCAACATAAACCAAGATAAACTCCAAATGAATACATGACTTAGACATAAAGGGAGATAATATAAACCAATTCCAGAATTGAGATATTACCTTCCTCATCTATAGATAGAGGAAGAGTTCAGGAACAAAGAAGAGGTAGAGAGGATGCCAGTAGGTAAAAGTGGTCATTCAAATTACATTCATTTAAATTCATATTTTTTGTAAAAAGAAAATTAATGCAGCTAAAACTAGAAAAAAACTGGTAAATGGGAAAAAATCTTTGCAGAAAGTTTCTCTGATATGTAAGGTATATAGAGAACCAATTCTCATTTACAAACACAAGAGGAATTTCCCCACTGATAAATGGGCAAAGAATATAAACAGGTAGTTTTCACAGGGAGAAATCTAAACTATCCACAAATATATGGAACAGTGCTCAAAATGACTAATAATTACAAAAATGCAAATGAAACCAACTGAAGTTCTTCATAACCATGAAATAGGGCACTGATACTGAAGGTTGACAGGGAAATCAAGGATAACATATGGGTTTTTCATTAATATTTTATTT